TACCCCTCCCCCCCTCCCACCTCCCTTACTTTTGGCTAAAGCCCTGGGCTGAAAAGTCCGCTAGAGGTCAGGCTAGATTCTGGGGCTGGGTAAGCGGAAGCCTCCTAAGAAGCTGCGCAAGGACTCGGTGGAGGCTCTTCCTCCTCTTCACTCCTTATGGACCCCGTAACCCAGGCAGTCTCTAGGCTGGGACGTGGCTCCTGTTTCAGCGGGCTCCCTGGTTATCCTTGGTCTCTGCAAACTTCCAGGGCAAGGAGGAAGAACAGGATCCTGATACGAGATTCCCAAAGGTGCCCCTTCTCCCTGCACTAATCTTCACATTTCCTTCCTGGGATTTAGGGCCCCTTTAGTCCTTAGAAAAAGCAAAGGTCAGGTCCTACCAATCTTTGAAGGCTGTGAGGGTAAGGAAGTACCCCAACATGTGGAGTGCCCCAGCCTGGCGAGAGCCCCAGGGGCCCGATGGGTAGGGACTCTGCTCTGTGGCCCTCAAGTCCCAGCTTGGTCTCTAGCTGCAGCCCCCAGCAGGCACCCAGCCTCCTCCCCCACCATCTGCCAGGCGGGTGCGCTGAGAATGCAGATGAATCTTAATACCAGCCTGGGCCAAGTGCAACGAGGGAGACAGCTCCTGCATAACCCAGACAGCATCACAGAGCCCCTGCATCCCCTAGGCGCCCTGGGCGGCACCAGGTGCAGCAGCCCTTCCCTGGCGGTGGTGGGAGTGTACATGTCTGGTCAAAGACCCCGAAAGCCAGGGGAGGAAGGAACAGCTAAATCCTTGTCTGCCTCAGAGCCTCTGTCCGGCTGGGAGGAAGAAGCTGTCGGCCTGAGCGTGGGCAGCTGGTTCCGGCGCTCAGATAGGCAGAGGCATAGCTGGGCCCACTCCTTGTACATCTCCAGAAGGCCCTGTCCCCAGGAGAGCAGTGCGGGCCAAAAGAAAGAATACAGCTTTGCAGTCCAGACAGCTCTGGATTCCATTCCAGGTCTGGCTGTGTGACCTTGGGCAGGTTGCTTTAGTTCTCTGATGCCAGTTTCCTGATCTGTTGCTGCAAGAACTGAGACTAAATGTACAAACAAAGCGCAGGCACAATGGCTGGCAGGCAGTCGTGGGAGTGCAATAAAGGGAAGTTCTCGCTTTTCTACTTCCCACACATTTGCTCTGGCTGCGTCTCCTGCCAGGCTTGCCCTCACTGCCCTCTTGGCCATTCCTGGCTCTCACTTCCTTCAAGTTTCTCGTCAGCATTCATCCATCAACCACTAATTAAGCCTGTCCTCGTTGTCAGGCACCAGGCCAGGGGCTGGGATACAGAGATGAATGGGACACCATCCCTGCCTTCAAGGATCTCACTGGCTAGTGCCGAACCGAGACATGGAAATCAATGATTATAACTCAGTGAGGTGAGTGGAATAACAGATTTCTATATCAGGCATTATTGACGCACCGAGGATGGTGGAGATAGGAGCAGAGTGGGTCAGGGATGGCTTCCTGGAGGAGGTGATGCTGTAGTTGTCAGGAGGAATCAGGCAGGCAAGAGCTATTCCTGGCACAAGGCACTGACTGGTCAAAGGTCTGGAGGCCAGAAGCAGCAGCAGTTTGCTGTTACTGGGGCACAGAAGGGAGAGAAGGAAGCCAGAGCAGAAGGCTGGGACCAGCCAATGGGGGGTCTTATATGTCAGGTCAAGACTTTTGTTTATGAAGATCTTTTGAAGGGTTTTAATAAAGGGGCTGGTGACTATAGCCACATTTGCATTTTAGAAAGCTTTTGGAGAATTCACTGGAAAGAGGAGAGACTAGAGGGAGGGATCCAGTTAGGAGATAAATGCAATGATCTGAGGTGAGAGAGGAGGGAAGCCAAAAACATCTTTAGGAGGTAAAACAATCAGGATCTGTTTGTTGCTGAGATAAGGGAGGGAGGGAGTCAGGTATGATACGCAGATTTCTAGCTTGGGCAACTGGCAGGATGCCTGCTGAGATGGGTGCCACAGGGGAGGGAAGGAGAATGGGTTCTGGGGAGAGAGGGTGGAAGGGTCATCTTTGGTCATGTCAAGTCTGGGTGGTGCTGGCCACCCCAGGGTAGAAGAAAGTCTCGCCTTGGGTGCTGAAGGTTCGGATATACAGGATATACAAGAGGAGCAAGGGGCGTGGATGGGGGAGCCCTGGGCACTCTGGCATTTAAGGGGTGGGCAGAGGAAGAATAGCTCCCAAGGGTACCCAGGCAAAAACAGGCAGCCAGGGGCAAAGAGGGCAGGTGGGCTGATGGGCTCTCCCACTTGGGTGTAGCAAGTAGAGTGGGAGTTACTGTACACAGATCCTAGTCTCCCACTCCAGGGAACCTTAGTCAGTAGATGAGAGCCCAGAACTATGTATTTTTATAAGCCCTTGACCCATCCCAGATGATGCCGATGGAGGTGGCTTCTGGGCTTCTCACTTTGATAAACTCTGCTGTGTGGGGAGCATCGGGAAAGAGGAAATGAGAAGCAGCTCAAAAGATCAGAATGGTCTGGAAAGGTAGCAACAGAACAGAGAACACTGAGTATGGCTGAGATTCCTCCAGCAACTGTACCCAGCCTTGGTCCCTCCAGCTGCTCCCAGGGTGGGAAAACAGTGCGCAGCTGTGCTGAAGGTAACCCCAGGCACGTCTGCCATTCAGGCTCAGCTCCCTGTGTCCACCGGCTCCCCTCCCCCGCCACACCCTGAAGACAGCAGATGCTCAGTGAACTGGACAGGACTCAATGCACTAGTCCCACCCCTCAGCCCACACCCAGCCATTTGCACTCTGGATGTGGGGTGGCTGAGCATTTGCTTAGCACTTCAGGTGCCTTCACCAGCTTCGGTCTCACACTTGGAAGAATCTAATCCCTTCCCCCACCCCTCCCTGCTTCTCCAGTGCTACAGAAAGAAAACAACACAGTAGGTGCCTGATCAGTGCTTATTGGATGGGTGGAAAATAGGGTTCCTGATGGTTTGAAAGGCACAAAGTGGATGCCCTTGAACCAGCTGGAGCAGAGAGGTCCTGGGGGAGAGGTGGGAGTGGGTCATTATTATTAGTAATCACTCATGTTTATCTGGCAATCTGCAGTTTTGAAGTGTCATGGTAGAGTGCTGTCTGTAGAGGGGATTAGCAGAGCCCAGAGGGAAACCCTAATGCAAATGAGGGGGCCAAGGATGAACCCCAGAGAAATTATCTTGTGATATGTGGATCAGCCCAGGTGGGAGGGGAAGGAAAGAACCTTCCAGGCAGAGGAAGCAACTCATGCAAAGGCCAGAGATGAAAGCAAGCCTGAGAAAGGGGTTCTGATGAGAACAAGATGAAAGAATCATTTGTTCTACAAATAGTTATCAAATGCCTACTTTTATGTCGTCCTGGGCTGGGTGTGGGGTACACCTGTGAACGGAGAGGCTGCAGCACTTATCCACATGGAGATTTTGGGAGAGACCGAGATTAAACAGCTGAACAGAAGAAAACACAAGCTCTGAGATGTTGGCAAGTGATGGGAAGGAAAGAACAGCAAGTTCTGAGCCAGAGAAACCAAGGAGGGGCCCCAGTTACCTGGAAGGAGTCAGGGGAAAGTCTGAGAGATGTGATGCCTCAGCTGAGATCTAAAGGATGAGGGGGCCTTGGCCAGCAATGGAGCTGGGGGAGGAGTTCCAGGCAAAGGGAACAGTGCATGCTAAGACCCTGAGACTAGGAAGACTTCAGTGCTTTGGAGGAGCTGAAGGAATTGAGTGTAGTGAAGGGGGTAGGGGGTGAGCCAGAGAGCCAGAGAGGTGGGTTGGGAATGGATCTAGGACTTTATGGATCTAGTTAAGGTCTGGGTTTCATCCTGTGATTAAGGTGTTTTGGGGGGGGGGTTATTTCAAGTTTTAAACGAGTCAGACTTGCACTTCAGAATAATCACTAGGAAGATCACTCTGACTGAAGTGTGGAGGGTGGGTTTGAGAGGATGGGTGAGACTGGCTGCTGGCAGGTGATGATGGCCTGAAATAAGGCAGAAACCATCGGGATGGGAGGAGGCAATGACCTTGAAGGAT